TGGGCAGCAGCACTGACGACTAAAGCAATAAGGAGAAATCTTGCAACCACATACAGACTCAGCGCACTGAGAACAATAAGTGGCTTGAGGACGATAATATCTGATATTATCAGACGACGCGGCATTATATACTTGATATTTTCTATGCTGACATTAGTAAGGCGTTCGACACAGTCAATCCAATTAAACTTATTCAAAAAATCGCAAAATTTCGTATCTCCAACGACATCATAAATTGGTTATTTTCTTACTTAAATAATCGTAAGCAATACGTTAAAATCGGATCATCTACAGGGTGGGCCAGAATAACTGCAATTTTTTTTCGCACCTATGTAGATACTACTATAATAACTTTCCAGTCACTCTTTTGTTTACCGTTATGTTTATTCATGTTTTGGTTATCCACTGTGATGATGCACATTATTGCGCAGTTCTTGTTTACTTTGCTACAATAATGGATGTGAAACGTCAACTCGTTTTGAATTTGCATAAAAAAGGTTTGCGACAAATTGATATTTTTCGGAAGCTTCAGATCGACAATATCAGTTTGAATTTTATTCATCGCACCATAAAACGATACAAGGAGCGTGGAACTGTCGATGTGAAGCGAAAAACGGGCAGAAAAAGATCTGTACGAACAAAAGGTCTGGTCCAAAAGGTACGAAAGAAAATTCTTCGAAATAACAAAAGAAGCGCCAGAATATTAGCTCGTGAGCACAATATCAGTCGATCTTCAATGCGACGAGTGTTGAGAGAAGATTTGGGAATGAAACCATTCAAAAAAACCCGAAAACATGGTTTGACAAAAAAAAATAAGCAAGATAGAAAGCGAAAATGCAAAGATCTGCTAAGCCGGGCCGCAACCTCAAACATCGTTTTCTCCGACGAGAAGTTGTTCCTTTTGCAGCCAAGTCTCAATGCGCAAAATGATCGTGTTTACGCAGCGACAATTGAGGACATTCCTGAAGATGATTTAGTCGTTGAACGATATCAAAATGTGTCAAGTGTCATGGTTTGGGGCGCCGTTTCGGCCGACCACAAATTTCCCCTTGTTTTCGTTGAAAGTGGCGTTAAAATCAATGCAGCTGTGTATGAAGAAGAAATATTGCGCAAAAAATTGTTGCCACACGCCAAAAAAGTGTTTGGTAATGAACCATGGGTGTTTCAACAAGATGGGGCACCGTCACATCGAGCAAACAGAGTGCAACAGTGGTTAAAGGAAAATGTGCCTGATTTTATTGATAAAGACGAATGGCCGCCATCGTCTCCAGACTTGAATCCATTGGATTATTTTGTGTGGGGCTACATGCAATCAAAGTTAAATGATCTGAAGATTACGAAAACCACAAAATTGGATGCATTTAAAAAGAAAATCGTCAAGATTTGGAACGATATTCCCATCGAAATGGTGCGGTCCGCGTGTAAATCGTTTTTACGACGTTTGCGTTTGGTGATCCGTGCAAACGGAGGAAGAATCAAAACCAAAACATGAATTTAAAATTTTGGACCCTATTCTAAATCCCAATAAAGTTTTCATTCAATTTTAGTAAAAAACAATACTTTTTCTGAGCACATATAAAAATTGCAGTTATTCTGGCCCACCCTGTAGTTGGCTGCTATTCGAACTCGGGCTCGGATATGTCCACGTCGTTATCGTCGTCGAAGACGGCGGCATCGGCGTTGATTTGATTCCAATATCGGTTGATTGCAGCAGGTATTGGAAGTCCAAGAAATGTCCATAGTCCTGGTTAATCGAAAAAATGAATCTTTTTTTGCGATCATTCAATCACATTGTGTATCAATATCCTTACCTTTCAGTAGAATGTTCTTAGCAACCACGACGTCACGATGCCAAGTCACGGTGCATTCGAGGTCTAATTGCCATTTTTTGTAGTAAGGTTTTACTCTTGACATTAGCTCCTCTTCTATTTCAAATGCTCCGTTCAATGTGCGTTGTAACTGTCGATATGTAGATGTATCTGTCTTGCCAAACTTAGACACAATTTTGGCTGGAAGCAGTGTTATGGCGTTGGGTATGCACCGACACATCTTGAATTTGGCTGATTTGGGTTGGTTTTGAAATCAGCAAATACATCTTGCGTCTGTTTGAGATGTTCCCCATTCGTCCACCGGCACGACAACAATGTATGGTCGCTTCTTATATGCCTGCATCAGTTTGCGTACACCTGGACACCGCACGTGTTTTTTAATTCTTATCGGGCAATCAGGTGGTACTTCGCCATCAGCACCATGGAATAACAGAGTCGGTTCCTTATTGGTGATCTTGTTCACAAATCCGTCGATAGCTTTGTTGCTCCTAATGTATTTGTCCAAGGCGAGTCTAGTGTACTTTGCAGTCGAGTAAGCTTCGATTCCATGTTTGGTCATCTTAACTCGATGCTTAATATAGCTCAGCCACTGTGAACCTTTTGGTGATGGCATCATTGCGTACAGCTCACGATTCTCTCGATCTTGTCTTTCTTTCTCGATGAAATTTTTCGTGAATCGCTTCGCATTTGCGTTTCGTACGTTTTGATGTGTCTCCCAATAGAACTGCTTGCTCTTTTTAACAAAGTTGATCTGCGAATAAATCGAAAAAAAAAAACAAAAATATTTAGTGAACTTAAACACAATGTGCATCATTGTATTTTAGTATACTACACATACTTCTTTGCAAGTATCAATTTCATGTATTGTTGTGGTATTCCAGTTCCGCATGCCTGAATCTGTACCTCCCAATCTTTTGAATTTGCCCGCCTTCAACATGTCAATGATGTCCAATCGACTGGTGCCCAATTGTGTGTTGCTGGTCTCCTTCTTTTTGGTGGAATACTGCAGAGACACAGCAATTCCATCGCTGTTTATCGAAAAGTCAAATTTCTTTTTGCGGCGGACAAACCACCGAATTTTACGCATACAAAGATACTGATTCCATATGTAATCTTTATTCTCGTTGTAAACCTTTTCTGAAATATTTCTTCCACTTGGTTTTCCGTCTGCAGTTAACTGTTTCGGAATCAATTTTTGAGAAGACAAGATCTGATACATACTCGAAGAGTCGATTTTGAAGTGCGTACGCCGAAAATCACACATCGGAACTACCACCAAATTGCGAATGCACGGTAGATATTCCAAATCGTCGAGCATTTGTTTTCGTTTGATGATCCACTTTCTTTTCTTACCCTTCGGTCTTCTGCGCTTTCTCTTTTTGCGTTTCTTCGGTGGCTCTTGATGTGCTCGCAGCAAATTAAATTCTTCTATCTCGCGTTGCATAGATAGATACATCGGCACAGCTTTGAACCAATTTTTTGAATTAGTCGTGAGATCATGTAGGTCGATTTCCGGGAACACATTCAACTTATTGACGATGTCATACAAAACTCCGCACCGATAAAGTTTATTTGGGTCACTAGCTGGCACTTTGATGACCTTTTTCAATGAAACAAGGGAAATAGATTAAAGTCATGTTTATAAAAATTGTAAGCTTAAACAATATGAACCATTGAAAACTCAGTTCTTTTCATGATTTGAATAAACATTTTCCACATACCTTTTCCTTGAGAATGAGCTTCACCACACAGTCGATGTCACTTGGCAGGTATTTCTCTTCAATGGCTTCATTTGTGTTCATCTGAAACACTTTCATCTTCAGATATTGGGTTATGTGTTTATCCGAATGTGTTTGCGAATTGGTGACATTGTTGTCTATGTATTGATTGCATAGATGTTTGAGGCCATTACCGAAATCTTTGTTGCTGGGCCAATCAAAGCGATGGACCTCATCAAGACCTTCCACAATTGCCTTGAATTCTGGATCGATTGGTGGAATTTCTTTTGCTGGTCCACGGGGTTTCCGTTTAGTCTTTGATGGTTGCTCTGGCTCCGGCTTTGGCTCTGGCTTTGGCTCTGGCTTTGGCTTCGGCTTTGGTGTTTTTTTCGGCTTCGGCTTCGGTAGTAAATTAATTTACAATTGTAAATTACAATGGAATGAAAAGAGAGAAAAAAATCAGTTAAAATGGATGCGAAAATAAAATGAATTTTGAATTGAAATCAATATATTAATTAAAATAGAACTGTAAAATCCATGTTATCCATAGTTGATTTTAGAGTATAATTACATTTTTTGGGTTGTGCTTTGCTAGCACTTGACTAAAACATGTGTTGATCTTTTCTTCCCCGCTATTGGCAAAGAAGCTGAAGTCACCATTGTTGATGCCTACGTTCATATGCCTTTTGCACCTCTAATAAGAACAGCAACGAACCCAAATTGCAAATCATTGCAGCCTGTAGACTTAGATCAGTTATTTTGCCGATCAGTTCCTGCTGGTATGGCGGCCGAATTATTGATTTTAGTGCACATTTGATCGTCGTAATCTCATCCTTCGTTTCTCCCTTCGCTGGTATGGATGGCTTGAAACGATTCGCCATTTTCCTATTGAATACTATTGAATTGGCGATATTTAGACATTTTCATTGATTCATATCGAGATTTTTTTATAGAAATTTACGAATGAATAAATCTCCTGCACAAATATGCACACACGCACACACATGTTTTAAATTCAATTTTTTCGAGCGACAACAGAACAAGAATCTATCTCCTTTTTTGGTACACACACAAAATGATGCAGCACACAAAAATGACAAAAATCTTTGGATTGATAACAATGGCAGTGATTTAGAGAAGAAAACAATGTAACGCATACTATTGAGTATTCAGATTCAATTTGAGCCCAAACAATAACTGTTTCTCTTCTCTGAACAATGGAACCAATTCAAAATGGGTATCACCGCTTGAAATGAATTTCACCACCTCACGCAACAGAATTATGTACTGCAGAATAATTGTGAAATTCATTACTTTTTTCATGAAATGATACTATATGTTCAACGTTAAATAATTATTAGACTACTTAAATATATTTCACGTTATAGATGGCTTATATTACGTGCTATGAAATAAAAATCAATTTCACAATAAGAACAAGAGGAATAACTGCACGTAAGCACGTAATTCAATTTTTGATTTTTCATTAAAAATAATATTTTTTATTGATGAATTAACCAATATTTTTCACGGTAATAAAATGATTAAGTTTACTCACACTGGTGACTTGAATTCAACAAGTTGTCAATCGATTGATCAAGTGTGGAAAGTTCGGATCAAATCGATACAAAATGCACGTATATCGAAAATAATGTGTTCTCGGTATGAATGAAGCGGCGTTTATGACATTTCGAAAACCAATGAAATGATCGTCAAATGTCATAAGACTCGGTTCACATCAATAATACTAATTCAATATTAAGACCTTAGACAATTTTTGCTTTAAAGAGTTTTTTGCTTCGGGAAGTGTCAATATCAATCGGTGCTTTACATTAATGGTACGACTTAAAACAGAATTTTATGCTCTTTAAATTGAAAAATACAATTTTTTTAATTATAGATATGGGAAACACTCTATTGTACATAAAATCTGAATTATCAAAAATATTATTTATTTCTTTCAGAATTGATTGATGGAGAATATTTTAATTAAAATATATAAATTATTATGAATAAACCACCAAGGTGTTATTATTATTAGCAGAGTTGGTAAATGCACCTCACAAGTGCGCGCCCTTACAAGTTGTGTGCAACTCTTCTTGGGTGCGCGCACCCGATTCCATATAAATGTTGGGTGCGCGCACTTGGAATTTTTTTCGTGCTTATTTCAATATAAAGAATTGAAAAAAATGTATTTTTTACTTAAATCTTTCCATTTTTTATTAGGTCATCTTCAATATATCAATACAAAATACTGTCAAATTGTGTTTCTTATATATTTTGACAGCTACAAGTAGCCGCCTGCTGGTTGTCTTTTGAACCACGTTGCTTTACATGTAAACAGTTTTTGCATGTGAAAAAATTCAAAATGGAAAAAATTAAGTAAAAAATACATTTTTGACGATTTTTTTTATTGAAATAAGCAAGAAAAAAATTCCAAGTGCGCGCACCCAACATTTATATGGAATCAGGTGCGCGCACCCAAGAAGAGTTGCACACAACTTATAAGGGCGCGCACTCGTGAGGTGCATTTACCAACTCTGATTATTAGTTATTTAGGTTACTTCAAAGAAGATTAATTTGTGGAGGTTTTGCTAAAAACTTTTTGTATGAAACTTTAATCGACAGAAAATTCTCCAGCAGTTAGTTTGTGGTTGAAATGTTGGCTACAGTTCAATTCGAGTCGATGTGGTTGTGCGAAGTTTTAATTATGTTATCCAAAAATCAAGCGTTCAGAAAGACATACATTTATGCGAGTAATTGAATGATGCTTGCATCATTTGATGCGCATCGCAAGTGCTTTCGTTGTGTGTTCGGAGCACTTCGTGCGCTGCCGAAGATCCGAATGTATGGCGACAGCACAATCAATCACATCAAATGATGCAAGCATCGTTCAATCGCTCGCATAAATGTATGTCTTTCTGAACGCTTGCCAAAAATGCCATTCTTTAAGAAATTCACACATTGGTCTATTGCGACATCATGTATCGATGAGCTTTCAAAATGAAACTTTACACACGTTATCTACAAACCATATGGAAAAATATCCAGGGCTGCCACCGACAAAATTCAAAGTTTTGAGGGCCAATCTGTTATACAGTTGCATATCGGAAACGTTTCTTTTCATATAGTTTTGTTGTTGTAATTCATACACACTACAACAACAAATCTATGAAATAAAAAGTTTTGTATAGCTTTGATATACACAAGGGGCGAAGCAGTACTAGATTCAATTCTATCAATTCCATTCAATTCCACTGAATTCTGTTCAATTCCAAACTAAATTCTAGTCCGTGTGTTTTAACTCATTTACTTCAGCAAATGTTAGGTATTACAAGAAGAGTTTCGTATAAAGTCGCCATATAGCAGCAAAATGACACTTGCGTGTATTAAGCGTGATTTGGATGATAAAGAATGTGAATTTTTTATTCTGATTGAACCCAGCGATAAAAAAAATTGACCAGAATTTGAGAATTGAAAAAAATAATTATTATT